TGTTAAAAAAAATTGTTATTTAAGGTCAAAGAAAAAAATATTTTAAAATTTTGTAAAAGAACGTGTTTATTATCTATTTTTGATATATTTACATCATTAGAAGCTTATATGCAGTTTTATTCTTTATTAAACAGCAAAATACAAAGTTTTTTACAAATACATTTGTTCTACATTGATTAATTCCGAAAACACTTTTATTTAAAAGTCGCTTTAAAGATTAACAAATTACTGTACTTTTTATACATTTTGTAGATAGTTACAAATGGAAACTGGGTTTAAAGTGAATTTTCCTTCTCTTTGCATCTAAATTAATTCTATCCCAGTATTTTCCAGGAAAAGCGTAATACTTCTCGTATATCACAGTTCATTTATTATTACAGAAACATAACTGTCATGGTCATTCGATCCAAAAGGACCTAATATTGGAACAATTTCGTTTGTATATAAACGACCACCACATATGTGATATTGACGTTGCATTACTATATTCCTAGAATTTGACCTATGTTATTATTTAGATTGTGAAATACAACTGTTAGAAATTGGCTAAGTAAATGAAGCAATATTATAAAAAATGTGAAGTGTAGTAAAGTACACAAAAAATTGGGTTAAAAATCTTTAGGTAATGGTTTTTATATAATTATTAACGTAGATCAATATAAAAATACGAGGTAAACTTATTAATTAAACGCAACTGACGCTGTAAAACCTTTTATTTTAACTTCGGCAGTTTTTCCTTACTCTTTAACGGAATTCTTTTTATACTATTTCACAAGATATAATATACCAAAATTCTAGGTACTCAATTCTGAGAGATAATAATTGAGTTTTAGCGACATACACTGTTGCCAGGTTGTGTTTATAGATAATATGTTAACTTCTATGTTAATAATTCACATACGGTCATAGAATAACGGACTTCTGAAAGTATCTAATGAAACGTGACAACGTTGACCAGTAATAAAGAATAATAGATCATCGATGTAAATTAGAGAGAGATGTATCACTCAGTTATAGTGTTCACTTGTACATAGTAGCGCATCGTTTACGCTATTGAGGTGAATTTAAAAAAAATGTACTAAAAAAGTATTTTTACTAAATTTTTTGTATGTTTTTGAAACAATTACGCGTGGCGTAAAACTTAAAAGTTTTAATGCATCGAACAATATTTTTGAATTTCCTAATTATAGAAAATATTTTATAACGTAATGAAAACTACTGATTAAACACAACAATAATAAATTTAAAAAGGGCATAGAATATGTAATATTAACAAAAAAAAAAATGTGAAAGTTTACCACTAAGTTACATCCTCTTTATTTTTAATGATATCCACAATTCTTCGAAGCATAGCTTTTACCAAGTTCTGATAAAATTCTAATGTAAACGAATTCCATGTTTCTTGCAATTTTTCCTTCAATACGTTGACGGACCTGGTAAGAGGTTTTCTAAAGTTTTTTTCATTTCGCGCCACAAAGTCTCTATCGGAACAAGTTGAGGACTGTTAGAAACCCATTTACAGAAGCGGTTATGCCATAGTCTTCAATCCATTTTAATCTCTTTTTGAGGTATGACTACCTGCGCCGTCCTGTTTGAAGACAAAATCTTCCGCGGATGTTAAACGGTGTACAATAATCAGCAAAAGAGATTCTTCTAAAACATTCCAAAATTTGTCCGTGTTTACAATCCCATCATCATCCATCATCACGTAGAGCTACAACCCTGGGTGGGTCTTGGCTGACTGTACAACTTTTTTCCAATATGATCGGTCTTCCATCAACCTAGGGTCAAATGGAATGTTCATTTTCCGGAGATCTGCTTGGATGTTATCCTCTTCATCGCATTCTGGGACGTCCGAGTGGTCTTTTGCCTGTGGGAATCTCCTCCCATACCAGTTTTACAAGTATTTCGTTATGCAGTCTGTGCACGTGGCCTGCCCATCTTAGTCGCTGTGATTTAATTTCTTGCACAATATCGGCGACGTTGTAGAGTGCTTTTAATTCGATAAAATGTAACTTTCACACACCTTTCGACGACATGCTGCCTTAGATCATGACAGATGCAGGAAATTTGACTTTTCTCTTCAGACAGTCGGGATGGAAAGTTTAATTTTTCCTGCAAATAACGCGACTCCCTACTGTCTACAACTTACACTTCAAATCTGGACTCATCACTCCATTGTATTGAATCCTATTGCGACTGAGTCCAATGTTTAATGCTCTTTTGACCATCTTAGTCTATTTTTCTTTTGTTGTAAGGTTAAAAGTGGCTTTTCCTTAGCCTAAAATGAAATGAAATTTATTAAATACAATTCGTACTAATTTTTTCAACTATAAAACTTACTTTGTAAGTACCAAATTCTAATTTGTGGGCCTCTCGGTGACATATTGATCCAGAAACATGTCTTCCAATAAAGCCACTCCATAAAACCCTTAACCCCATATAATTTACTTATATTTTGACAGGTTCTTTGTATTTTAAGTGTTAACAAATCGAGCGTTAGCCTTTCTTTTTTTAATAAATTAACTTCCTGGTATGCGTCATTGTACTTAACAAAACAAGCATAATGTCGAATATAAATGAAAACACCCCTGAAAAATCAAGTTGTTGCCGTCGTAAGTTTTGGTCGCTCTTTTTGACATTCTGTTGTAGTATACTAATGTGTTTAAAGTCATTTTGTTCCATTATTGTGACCTCAAAAGAATTTTTTTATTCGATATTTTGAATAATATCATAAAAGTCTGATGGAGAATATATTCATGGAGCATATTTCTGATGGAGTTTCTCTATGTGAGCAAAGTCTCGGTCTGATTGTCGTGTCTTGAGTGCGCGTGGCCACTAACCAGGAAGTGATGGGTTAATTTTTTAAATTTCCTTTCTTTAACCATTTGCAATCACAAGGCCATAACGTCCAGTTTTTATTTTGTCAGTGACCAACACCAGTTCATCAATGCCTGACTTATTAGATAAAACTTTAAAACAGCACTTGCACTTTCATCACTACTTTTTTAGCTATGTCTTTCGTCCATACAAACATGTGCCCCTTTTCCCGAACCACAGTCATGTATACCAACACTATAAGCCATACTTTTCTGAAGTAAAAATCTACTTCTGTTTCCTGTAGTCAGTTTCGGTACTGGCAGGTCCTGTAGTAAATCAAATGTGGCAACTAATTTTTTATCATTGGTTTTTAACCAAGTTCTGCATTGCTTTTGCCCGTGCTTTGTGAACATTTAAATTAGTCGTCAAAGAAGCTGTTAATTCGTCATTACTATGAACTTTTGCTGCTTCTATTTTAATCAGCGTTTCATCACGTCTTTCTTAAAACCCTATATTAAAATCGGTAAACAGATTTTCCTATATATTATGCAGATGCAGAAACGGATGGTTCACACCATGAAACACCATGAAAACTCTTCGTATAAACGAGTATAAACGAGTTACTGGCATATTACTATTTAAATAGGTCTGTATTATATAGTGACTCTGATACTTAGGAATAAGGTTAATATGGTCTTTAACATACTGGATAGCTTCATCGCTTATTCTGTTTGGTTTATTATTATGTTTTTTATAACTACCCATTTTGGGCACAGGAGTACCTGAAGGTAATTGCCATACAATATTATTTATTCTACCTCTAGATCGGTGAAGACCATGAACGGACATAAATTCGGATTTACATATTTTGATGACTTTTGTGTTGACAATGACATAGTATTCCACACCGTATTTTCTTTTAGACACTGCCCTTTTAGTTTTTTTCAGATAATGTAGTTTTTTATTACAAATTTTAGTGCATCCAAATAGGTATGAATTTTGAATATCAAAGGTCCCAAGATTTCAGAATTGTGTAAAAATAATTTCTCGATTTTCGTTAAGTTTTGTTGCACATTGCCTTGAACAAAGACAAGGTAGTCCAATTTCTCGAGCTCCCATCACTTTGTACTTTAACTATAATATTCCTGCCCTTTCTTACGTTTTATTTCTCTTTGGTTTCTTTTGTATTCAGATGATTTTCGTTTTCGTTAACGGGATGATTTTTTTGCATTTTCGTCTATTACTTTTTCTAGATTATTGCATTTGGAAATGTTCTCCCTTGAAACATTTTCCGGATTATCCTGAAAAAAAAATTATTTTCAATATGTTTATATTATATAATGACAAGCCACACTAAATTCTACATGATAAGCTTAACAAAGGAAAATGTACTACAAACATAAATAGAAATCATACTAATAACTTATTATAATAATGGTTGTTGCCATTCTTATTATTTTTACAAATTCGCACAATATAAAACGGAAAATGTCGTAAATAGTTATTAAAATATTAAAAATATGATAAGCCACACTTCAAAAAAATACGCTTACCGTTGAATCTAGATCATAATTTATCCTTATATAATAATAAGCCCTTTATTTATACTTTAAAAAAATTATGGTGTATTAAAATAATTCAAAGTAAATTATTGTTTGCTCCTAACGCCACCTATTAACGTATTAACAAAGTATACTTTATTTTACTTCTGACAGACCTGCTAAATTCAGACGAAAGCTTTTTTTATGTTTCAGAAGATAAAGTTTTGTAATTTTACCTCAAATATTAAGCTTGTTAATAGTAAGAAAAAGACTCAGAAATTTTTGCAAAAACGTATAGGTTTTCTTTATATAGGCCTATAGTAACTATAAGCTAGCTAGACTTGTTAGTTAACGAGAAATCTTATTTCCCCGAGCTATGATTATTTTTACGCCAATTAGTCCCATTTCGCATGATTCTATTGGTTAAAGGATTGGTGTATTCAGATTGGTCGTAGGCCCGTTCCTTTTATCTGCTTTTCAAAACTCTCCGTGCGAATCACGCGATAAAAAGATAAAATGGAAATCGTAATTGCTTAAATATTTTCTTTATGTTTTGTAAAAATTTAACAAGTAGTCCTCGTACTACAAATATACTTTATAAATATCTCTTTTTAAATACTATCATTCTAAAATTCGTAGGTGGAAAAGTTTTTTGGTTAATTCCCCCTACAGAACACAATCTCGGACTATACGAACGTTGGGTTCTCTCGGGTAAACAATCAGACATTTTCTTCGGCGATACAGTGGAAAAATGCGCCAGGATAGTTTTGCACGAAGGAAACACCTTCTTCATTCCCACGGGATGGATACACGCCGTGTACACTCCGATGGATTCGCTAGTTTTCGGCGGGAATTTCTTACATTCGTACGGAATTGACCAACAGTTGAAAATAGCTCAAGTTGAAGATACAACGAAGGTGAGTAGTAAAAGCTAATACTGTAATTGATAACATTATTCGAATACGCTACAACTATTTATTAATAAACAACAAAACGGACATTTTCAATTGTTAAATATGTATAAAACAGTATGAATTTTGTAAAAAATATGCCAAAAAGCAAAAATAAAAATATAAAAAATTAACAATCAGAATACGAGGGTGGATTGATATAAAACTAGCATTTTACAGAAAAAAACAAGTTTTTTGGAATTAAATCGATTTGTTTCTCAACATAGTCCCCTTTTAGTTCGATACACTTAGTAAGACGATGTTCTAATTTTTTATCCCATCCGAATAGTACTTTTGTCGAGCTCTTCAAAATAGGCCGAAGTTTCAGCGACGACTTCATCGTCATTTGTTGCGAAACGGCGTCCTCCGAGCCATTTTTTTAGGTTTGGAAACAGGAAAAAATCGCTGGCAGCAAGATCTGGGGAATACGGTGGATGTTCAACCAATTCATAGCCCAATTCGTGTGATTTTGCCATGACGACGGCCGATCGGTGAGCCGATGCATTGTCTTGGTGAAAGAGCACTTTTTGCTTTCCAAACCAGGGCAATTCGGCATCGAATCGATCCAATAATGCTGCCTAGTACTCACCATTGATTGTTTTCCTTTTTCCGAGTAATCGATGTGGATGATGCCCTTCGCATCGCAGAAAACAGGCGCCATCATTTTGCCGGCCGAATATGCACTCTTTGCTTTCTTGGCGGCCCTTCGCCACGTTTGCGCCACTGTTTCGACTGTTCTTTGGTTTCCGGTGTGTAATAATGCAGCCAGGTTCCATCAACAGTGATAAATCGGCGAAAAAAAATCCTTCGGATCGCGCCGTATCTTTGCCAAAAGCATCTCCGATGTGGTCACACGTTTTTGCATTTGATCGATTTGTTTGCGCGTTCGTAGGAAATGTTTAAGACCTCTATTAACTTGCGGAGCTTAATTCGACGATCTGCCATAATCATGCCATGGACTTTGTTGATCATTTCCGGTGGGACTTCATTTGGCCTCCCGAGATCTTATCATCAAAAACACTCGTACGGACCACGAACAAATTAAGCTTTCCAAAATTTTACTGTTGTTAACGAAGGTGCAACCTCACCATAAACTTCGTTCAGGTCGGCTTTGATTTGTATATTCGTTTTACCCTTTTTGTGGATGAACTTAATCACCGAACGGTACTCGACTTTTTCCATTTCTCCGAAAACACAAAATTTGCTTTCTTTGACGAATGTAAAAACCAAACTAATGGACCACAGTAGGGATGACGTAGATTTTATTGACATCTGTCAGTTTCACTTTCCAAACAAACCTTGTTTAGTGTGGATAATTTGTATTTTTCGTTATTTTTTTCGTTTTTTTTTATAGAATCTTTCCGCTTTTTGCAATATACAAGTATTCTAATAGTTACTACAACAATTTTACAATGTTGTGTAAATAATAAAGCACATTGTTTTATGCTAATAGCAATAAAATGCGTGTAATAATAAAGTAAGGTTAGAATTTCTTTAATTTAAACTTTTGAACTATATTTCATAGAAATAGAACTCTGAATTGTGATGGGATTGTCGTAAAAACACTATACCTACAAGAAAAAGCAGCAGAGGAAGCAAAGTGTTAAATTAAATAGTCTTGAGATTTGACATTTCAACTTTTGTTTGGAAAGTAATAATGACAATGTGACAGTCGTGACGTCACACTCCTGGTGTCCATTGTTTGTAAAACTTAAAATTTTGACAGACGTCATGTCATGAATGGCAAATGTCAACACCGAAACCAATTCGGTATCAAGTAGCGCCATCTATCAAAGTCTAGTTTAATATCAATTTATCCTCGTATACAACATTTCCTTAGTGTAATTCGCATAGTGTGTAACTCAATTTATAAAATTTTACAAGAGAGCGAAAAAACTAATATAAATGATTCAACTTATTACCGATTGGCAAAAAATTAGTTTTTACGACTACTAGTCAACTCAGATAGAATTTGATTGTTCTATTTTGGTTTTTTGTTGGAAACTAGCCGCAGTAACACAAATGTGTGTAAGTAATTCTTTTGCACAAGTTAGAATAGGGGAAAAATATCAAATGCTTTCTGCGTAAATTCTGGACTGAGACAGGGAGATCCGTTGTCCCCATTGTTTAACCTGACCCTAGAATATGTCACGCGAAAAATATATCCAAAAATCAAACCAGACATAACTGCTCGGGGAGTAAAAATCATACTCGCTTTTGCCGATGACGTAGACGCAGTAGCACAATCAACATTTGAAATTAAGGATATTTTCTCGAGCTTTGAAGAGGCTGCATTAAACCTCGATCTAAAAATAAATGAAAACAAAACAAAAGACATGGTCGTCTCAAAACAAGAACGACGGCGAATAAGGCAAAACATTACTATAAATGATCACAACTTCGAAGTGGTTCAAGAAGTTAAATATCTAGGAGCAACAATCACAAATGACAACAAATTAGAGCGAAAAGTTGAAACGAGAATAATGACAGGAAACAGATCTTTCTTTGCAATGCAACATCTAATGAAGTCGAAACTTCCTTCACGAGGTGCAAAGATCCGGATATATAAGACCATTAATACGACCAGCAGTCGCGTATGGAAGCGAAACATGGAGAGCAGATACAATAACGAGCTAGAGTCTCTATTCGAAACAGAAAATCTGGTCAGATATATAAAGGCCAATAGACTCAGATGGGCAGGGCATGTGATAGGCAGTAACGACAATCGCCTTATAAACAACGTTTTCTGGGAAAGACCAGATAAAGGAAGGTCTATAGGGCGGCCTAGAAAAAGGTGGAAAGATGCAGTCAAAGAAGATCTAGAGAAAATGGGAGTGCGACAATGGGAATTACTGGCACAGGACCGACAAACATGGAAGGCAATAGTAAACGCGGCAAAGACTTACGAAGAGTTGTAGCGCCATTGATGATGATGATGATGACGATGATGATTTTTTGGTTTTTAGATAAAATATTGTTTTTCAATATTTATATTATATTTCAATTATATTAAATAAACCAGTAACATATGGATTACACGTCAGTAATTGTAACAGAAAAATGAATGACATGGGTTTTATAATATTTTCCCCACAAAAATCTTTGTAGTAAGCTACATATAATTGTGCTTCTGATTACCATACTGTTTCAAAGTATAACTTTGAACTATTTGCCCTGCAGTAATGTAAAAAATTTGTTGTTTTTTATTGCTTCTCCGCTTTTTCGACTACTTTCAACTTGCTTACTATCTGTAACTGCTTCTCTGGTCCACTTCTTTATGGCAATTTCTTCAATACGGAGTGTATTTAAAATCATATTTTTGCATACTCGTATTCGATTATGTTCAGTGTTTAAATAAAAACTCGTTCGATGTTTGCCTTCTAGATATTTCCCGTTCTACCCTTCGTCTCTCTGTAGGTTTTACAATTACTAATGTATTCACAAGTTTTTTCTCACCCCAAGTTTTTCTCCAAAAGTTGTCGAATATTTCGTGTCTAACCTTGTCAGAAATAGAACCACATTTCAATTTTGTCGTGTCGTCCCTACTTAACTTTCAATTGCAACGAGGTTTCATAGTTTTTGCCACATTTTCTATATTGTAATAGATACTTAAGCCCATCTTCTTCATACTTGTAGTTCTAGTGTTGGCTCCATTTGTTTTTGTCTGATTCTTTTGTTTCATAAATTCTTCAAAACCACTACCTATCTCTTCTTCCATCTCTGCTTCCATGATTATGAAGTCCGGGTCTCGCCGTTTCATTGTCTTGCCAGTTAGTTTTTTGCATGCACGAGATGCCTTCTTCTGATCTTTCTGTGCTATTAGTGACCGTTTTTGTAATATTAAAATCACCCAAATTCATTATGATGTACGGTTCATCCTCAGAAACATGATTGATAAGCATTTCTTCGGTTTCTCTAGCATATTTCTCAAGATCATCAATAATTGGACTGTTATTTACCTGCATACTGTTTGTTACGGCAATAACATTGTCGATGGTACTTTGTTTCATGGATGTAGCGAGAGCAAGAGTAAAGTTGTCTAAATCAGACTCTTTAACTTAAAAATAGTCCTTTTTTTCAGTGTCGTCTAACTTTGACGGCACTCGTAGAAGGTTTATATAAAATGTGCAGTCTTATTTTACGTTTTACTTTTAATATGAAGAGAGAAGAAAGTAACTTTACACAGATTTTTTTTTTATTTAACTAGATTTCAACGAAAATCATTCCATACTAAATACGGAAGCATTCAAATATGAATAAATTTGAAAGAGAACAATTACTGACTTTTAAAATATGTATGCATATTATTGAACGCTAAATAATAATAATAATAATACTTTTGATAATTTTCTAGGTCCCTCAAAAATTTCGCTATCCATTTTTCACAGAAATGTTGTGGTACGTATTGGAACGGTACGTACACTGCTTATTAGGAAATTCGCACTTAACGACCGGCCAAGATGCTCCTATACCGCCAGATAGGCCTCATATACATCTCACGCAAGCGGAACTGCATGGTTTAAAGGTAAGTATTTTTCTTCTTATAGTAATTAGATTTGTGTGAAATAAGTCTTTGGTTAATTTATTCAAATTAATCGGAATAGTTTATGAAAGAATTTAGTAAATAATATAAAAAGTAAGATAAATTCGAAAATATGCTTAAAAACAATATTAATGTGAAAACCAATGACTTTATGATTTCTTAATATTTAGAAAATTATTAGACAATATCTGATTTTGAATTTACTTTCCGTTAAATTTACTCGCAAATAATTTTATTATCTTTCAAACCTAGACTATAATAAAATAGATTGGACTCACTCTGTCCAAAATAAAAAATGGCACTAGAAACTTCTGGCATATCTAAATCTTCCTTGGATGGTAGTTGGTATGGTCTTCCGTGGGACATCTATGTTTTTATTAGCTGATGTGATAAGATAGCCGAGAATTTGGAGAAACGGTCTAATTGGCTATTGGTTTAGCAAGTTGTTGCCTAAAGCGTGTGAGAGGTAGCTGTGGATTTCGCCTCATCTAGGATATGTTTCATCTCACCTAGGCAGTATTGAGAAAAGAACCTTTGCGTTTAGGGAATCTGACGAGTCCTCTGGTGCAACAAGGTGCTTTGAGGACGTTTTGACTCCCAATGTTAGGATCTCAAACTCGTTCCCAAAATGTATTTTTTACTTACTTACCGACTGCATCCGAGTAATGATACCTTCATGCTTGAGGAGAACATGTAAGGGGGGGGGAGTAAGTTGGTGACGGGCTGGTTTTCTTGAAGAGTAGATTGGGGACTTTAACGATGGAATATGTTGGTGAATATACAGGCATAACATCTGCGGTCTTGACCACAATTAGGGCATACTATTATTTGGCGGTTTCTGACCTAAGATGTCCATTTTTACAGCACTTAGGGTAGTGCTTGTAGCGGAGAGAGACAACATGTTCGATTTGAGTCTATCAGAATGTAATGGATATGTCGCCGTGAAAAGAAAATATCTCAAAAGGGCCTCGATGTACCTTGTTTCGTAATCTGTGAAGATATGAAGCTACTGGAGAATTGTTTTTTTTTAAGAAGATGCAGGTGACTTGTAAATGTGAACTTTGATTCCGTGAAGCTGGCTTCGATTTCTTCTTAGGAGAATATACTGTTAACTCTAGATATTACTAAATTATGGTTGCTCTGGGCATTTTGAGATATTTGAGAGTAAAACGTTAAGAGATTGAACTTAAGTTTTGATCAAATTTGAGCTGTTAGCAAATATTGGCCGGCATGTGCCAGATTCTATATTGTTATAAGTTAAGTTAATATAAGTATAAGTATAAGTTTTTTGAAACCAGATTACAGATGGAACTTCGATTTGGTGGTGTCTTGAGGTGGAGTGTTGATGGTTTAGTTTTACTCGTTTGGGCATATGAGTGTCTGGAGGAGGATGCAGATTGAGTCAGTGATGTTCTTGGGGAGAAATTATCCCTTTTTCGAAGGATTTTTGGAAGTAAATAGGATAAAGGTATTTTTGTAATAAAATTAAGGATATTATATTAGCACAACAAAAATACCATATGAGACAAAATAAAATATTTTTGTTTTTAGTAATTATTTCAACACTTAATTTATACAGCTGTACATCTATCCTCAAGACTCCTGAACTTTTAATGGAGAATTACACATGTAGCAGGAATAAATGGAGATGGTACACTCTGAAATTTGGTGACAGATTACATTCAATAGGAAACATAAGCAAGCGGATTTGATGAAAATAATTGTATAGACATTTACTTCGAGTGGTTTTTACCTATCTATATACATTTTTTAATGCTTTTTTCTTAATTCGTGGAGTCAATAAATGGCGGTAATGATATGATTATGATCTTTGTTTGGTATAAAGCTTAAAACAAACTTAAAATACTTATCTACTTTAAATAAAAAAAAAATATTGTTCAATTTTTTTTTTGTTTAATTTGACAACCATTTGGGGAGAAATATTACCATGAACAGTGGGATAAATTTCTAACAGACCAGAGGGAGTTTCTGTGTACCATGCAGAACAGCACTGGATTTAGTACGTAGAGATTGGCGTTTCTTTTGCACTCTGCTTATGATACATTCGACAGGTGTGCTTACAACTGGCGTTAAAGGAATTAAGAAGCCTCCATTAGTAGCTCATGGATTAGAGATTGCATTTCCTGACAGTTGGATGATAAAACTATGCGATGCAGCCTTCTGGGGGTGGTCCCTCTTATCTATATTAATCGACATCTAGGAAGCCCGTGAGTAGTGCCGTGTCATGGGAAATAGAGGACGTGGGTTCCAGCAGATTGAAGTGGATGGCCCCGTTCCAGACGTTCTTGCGATCGTGACGGAAGAGTTTTTTCTTTGACAAGAATAGTATTTGTTCTTTCGAACTTATTTCATTGGTAGGCTTATCGACAAGACAGAGCCCGGTTAAAAATTTATTGAGCATGCGTGATAAAACTATGTGGTGTGTCTTCTAAGGTGGTCACTGTTGTTGATATTAATTGACACATAGCAAGCCAATGAAGTGCCGTGGCGTGGGAAATAGAAGACGTATTATTGAGTTCGTGGGTTCCAGCAGATTGAAGTGGATCGCTCCGTCCTAGACATTCTTGCAATCGTGGCGGAAGGGTTTTTTCTTTGACGAGAGTAGTATTTGTGCTTTCGAATTAATTTAATTGGTAGGTTAATCGACAAGGATGGAACCGAAGCACCCCCACTTAAAAATGAAAAAAGATTAGATTCGAATTGTCCTAACCGCTCTTTCACTACTCTTGAAATAGGATTTTTGGGCTAAAAACTATTTGCAACCCTACCAAGGGTCCTACGCTCGCGAGTTACGTGTGTCAAAATAGTCGACAACTTTAAACATCTTAGGTAATATACTCATCCCTCCGATTTCATTTCACATATTATTTCGCACATACTAAGCTTCAATACTAAGATTAAAGTTTAAAAAATATATATTTTGCAGGAAATAGTTTTATACCTGCATATGTTACCGTCGCATAAGAAAAGCGTTCCAGATCTTTTAAAAGATCCCATATCATTAATACAGGATGTCAGAACACTGATTGGGCTTCACAGACAGGATAACAGAGAACTGGCAGTTACGGATCGGGCCATTCTTGCAGGTAATATTGCATTATGTATGAAATTTGTTGTCACATGTAAACAAATATCCAAAATAGGCGTTTTTGAAGCTTGAAATTTCAATAAAATATGATATGGTCTGTTAACTCAGTTAATTCTTAGTGACAAATACTCTTGAAATAATTATTCTGCAACTCTCTATATCTAACAATTAGTAGACATTTTAAATAATTCTCCGCAGATACATTTCCTTTATAGTATTAATCTACTTCTACTGTTTTTCTAGTTTGCCAATTATTATTGTAGTTTTAATTTTATTCTGAGGTGATAAAAAAATCCGTACTGATTATTCGAATGAGTTACAGTAGCATGATTTATGCCACCAAACTTCAATAGTTTGTTATCTTATCACGTATTCGCATGCTCTATTCTATTTGTTGGAGCCTGAGATAATCATGTTCGCTAATATTTAAAGACGTCGTCTAGAATCATCTAGACATTTGCCATTTTTTATCCAGATTACTGTTATATCAGAAGAAGGGAAGCAGCAAACCAGAAAAATTAATGTACCATCTTATCTACCCTTACAGCTATTTAAGACACTTTATATTGTACTATAATGTAGAATATCAAAAAAATGTTAATTGTTTTAGTTCCTGACGATGAAAAAGGAAAGATTCCAAGTCCAAGGGGTCCGTATAATAAAGGAAGCATGCAAAAACCTCCTCGGCCTCCCTTTAAAGGACCTAAAGTTGCTGGAGAAAAAGGTGGACCTCGAAGACGACGTACAAGGTAATAATGTTTATATTAATGATAATTAAAATCGCTTGCACTACAAATCGACTCATCCAGCGTATACTGTACTAACTCATTTTTTTAAGTTTTCGAATAAAGCAAGATAAAGTTTTGATTAATGCAAAAAATCGGAGGTTCTTATTTACAAAATTGTTTTTATGTTTATCCATTGTGTTTACCGTATTGTTCCATAAATAACACATACCATTGTCTTGTGAAACTATGATTAACTGTGATTAAAGTCTACGTAGAAGTTATATTACAAAATATTATAAACAAACATTATTGCAATTGTTCGTCGTCACTGCTTGGAGTGATTTCATATTTTTATGATGTATCAGAATGGGAATGAATGAGTTCTATAGAAGCCATGGTACATAGTAGGAATTTTTCCAGTGTCGCAAAGCCATAATAACCCAGTTAACTTCTTATCTATTGACAAAAGATTTCTGTATACTTTAGATGGAAATTTGTCGATGGACGTCGCCTTTTTGCTTTTGTTGGATCACTCCTGTTAGAATCGAAACTTAAATCGTACTTAAAAAAAAAACATTTGGTGTGTTATAGAAGTACTGATTTCCCTTACATGGCGCATGATGCATGATGTGGCAAATGGTACATAATATTTTAGGAACTGATCAAAACACATTGCAAGACGTGTGTGTGTATTGAAGTAAGGTTGAGACTAAGTGTATAACGCCCCACGTTGGGCGCCATATATGTATTGTGGTAGCCTCTTCCGTACTATCTCAATTCTCGGAATTAAAACAAAAATAGTGAGCACTTGACAAATAATTTCCACCCATACATGCGCTGAATAAAATCAGAAACTAATTTCCAATGAACATACATTCTCTCCATAATGAACTTTTAAAACTCGCGATATCACTTTTATGTTGTTATATTTTTTAAATAAAAATTACATATTTACCTAAACAATACTTTCAGATGTAAGAAGTGCGAAGCGTGTCAACGTAGCGATTGTGGTGAGTGCAGTTTCTGCTTGGATATGGTGAAATTCGGCGGTCCGGGAAGAGCGAAACAGACTTGCAATATGAGGCAATGCTTGCAACCGATGCTGCCAGTGACAGCTGCTTGTTCGCATTGTGGATTGGACGGATGGATGCAGACGCCCGTGACGCCGCTTCAGAAAGGACCACAACGGTGCGAGAGTGCCAGCAATCTCATGGAATGTTCGGTGAGTATCTTTATTTACAGAAAATGGGACAAATACGTAGTAGCAAAATGCTGAAAAATCTTCTTTCGGTGTCATATTAGGTCCTTCTAATATTGGCAAGTTGTTCACGGACTTCAGCTAATCGTAATGGTTGTTTTTCACTGCGTTGCTTACTTCCAATTCTTTCATGATAAGCTGAAGGCTTTTGTACGGGTCTTCTCTAAGAACATGCCCTAGGTAAAAAAAAATTCTTATTTGAATAGCTTTCAATAACTTACTGACGGCATTTGCTCTATTTAACACAACTCCATTGGTTTGCATCGCTGTCCAGGAGATTCGAAGCATTCTGCTATGCAACCACATCTCAAACGCCTCTAGTCGATTGATTTATCAGCCTTCAGTGGTCAGGTCTCGGTGCCATGGAAAAACACTGACCAAATATAGCTTGAAAAATACGTAGATCGTATTTACCTTTTGTTTAATATATTTTAAGTATGTTTTTTGTTTTCAGGTTTGTTACGAGATAGCTCACCCTCAGTGCGTCCAGCGACTTTGCCCCGAATTTACAGGATTCATAAACGAAGACATGCCAAATTCCTGGGAATGTCCTATGTGCTGCAAACTCGGAAAAAACACAGACTACCGACCAAGACATTTCCGCGCGCGACAGAAATCTTCAGATATCCGCAGAATGTCGATCAGTTCAGACGCCTCTAGTGCTATAGACAATAAAACCAACCAAGAACAAATGTCGGATTCAGGGAGCGATACGGAACACAAAGATATTAAAGAATTGTTACCAATTAAGAAGAGAAGATCTAGTGAAGGTGCGGAAATAGAAAGTAAAAGTTTGTCGCCCGGTGACCCCCCTCGAAAAACCGCGTTCAGAATGCAGCTAGCCCACCAAATAGTCAATAACTCTACGAAAGTGTTAAAGAAGCCTATGGTAGTAGTTAGACCCGCGTCTATAGTGTCCACACCAGTATCTACAACTAATCTAGCCATGGACAAACGTTGTATGCTTCTAGTCTTCAGATATATGTCGCCCAAAGAATTGCTTACTTGCGCTTTAGTGTGCAAAACTTGGGCAACCTTTACAGTAGCTCCGTGTCTGTGGAGAAAAATGTCTTTCAACCGAAAACACATATCGTCGGACATTTTAAAAGGTATTGTAAGGCGACAACCCGAATGTCTTTGCCTCGACTGGTGCCATATTAATAAATTTCAACTACCTTGGTTGATACAACGCTTGGGTCAACTTAAAGAGCTGTCACTTGTTAGTATAAACGTCAAAACAGCTATATCGTTGAAGTCGAACCATTCCGCCGTGTTAGTAGCATTAGACATTAGTTTTATTTCAGATTTTAATGACTCTGCTTTAAGGGATATCATCGGACCGAATAGCGATTCTCGGACTAGTCTCCCTTCAGAAAAAATTCGTTTCCGAAATCTAAAAGACTTGAAATTAGCAGGTACCGATATTACCGACATAGCGATGCGGTATGTCACTCAGTACTTACCGAAACTTCAACACCTTAGCTTAGGTATGTGTCCTCGGATCTCCGACGCGGGAATAGCCCAACTAAGCACGAAACCCGCCAACACAGTAACAAATCTCGTTAGTTTAGATTTGAGCCATTCCAAATTAGTGACCGAAACGAGTCTAGAGCACCTCTCTAAATGTGAAAACCTCGTTAGATTAGATTGTAGGCACTCGCTGCAGATTTCTACACAAGCGCTCATCAAATTCGCGGCTAAAAGTGACAAGAATCTGCAAGTTAGGGAAATTAAGTTGGTAGACGTGCGACAGAAGTAAGTTCTGCATAGAAACTTTTGCGATGTTTGTTTTGAGTAGCTGTATGGTATATTTTTTGCCTGATTGATAAATATTTTTTGCATTTGTAAGATCTCAAATGTGTTTGTTTCTCTTAGTAAAGCAAAGTGTTTAAAATATCCTGTTTAAAGAGTTGCATTCGAAAATCAGTAGGTGAAGGCTACTCCAGAGAGTATATTGAGAACGGATGTACATTGATTTTCTAAGCCATATTACATTTTGTAGATGAACAAAATAATTAAAAAGACTTTACTCACAATATATTTACTAAGTTCAGGCTGTAAGTACACAACTGAACAGGTAGACAACATGAAGTGCTATTAAAAATTATGTCAAACGTTTTATTTAACACGTCAAAAACTTATAATGTTTAGATCTGAAAGGAGCTGAAGGATGATTGATGTAAAGGAAAAAAATAAACGCCTTTATTGAGTTATTTAAATTATTTATTGTTCATTATAAGACCCAGTTTCTAAACGTAAGTATAAAACAAGAAAAATTAATCGAATGTGAGAAAACCACAATAATTTTGGGAATTACTTCACTAAAATCTTTATTTAAAGAAATCCTTTATAAAAGGTATAATATTCTAAAAAAAAGACCCTTTCGGGCTACATCACAGATCGTTTTCGTATTTATTTAAAAGTTATTTATATTTATTTTTTTTATATTTATTCAAGAGATATATTTATGAAATGTATATCTAAATATAAATAACTTTTAAATAATTAAATCATATAGAACATCACTCTCATCTAACAAACAATCAGATTACACATATCTCTACTTTCATTGGATAATCTCCTCAAGAACTTCCCTGTTTATTGTCAAACAATTACAATAGCAAACTTAAGTTCTCCATTCAACAATACAGGATAGTTTAATTGATAGAGTACCGGCATGTAACTAATGTTTTATTTAATTATTTACTAATGTTACAATTTAATAGACTATTTTATACCAATTTGTGGATCTTACCTTGTCTGCTTAAACAGTTTATTTATAATATAATGCTTATTTATTAATAATATATTATAATGCTTATAATAATTAATAATTATATTTTCAATAATTTATTGATTTTAAATTGAACTTTTAATTCAAAAGTTTCATAAAAACAATCATTAGTAATTATTTATTGTAATCAAATTGAATTTGACGATTATTTTTTCTGATTTACTATATTTTATTCAAATTTACTATAATTTTAAGGACCTGTCACAATAATCGCACTCTCCAGAGTTGCTAACACGGAACGACACGGGTTTGCTGTTTCTTTTCTTACATATATAATAACAATTAATTTGCTAATTGAGGCACTTTTTCTTTATTTTCGCCATCTTTTTTTTTTTCAATATCTAAACTTTCTTTAGATTTTTTTTTCCTAATTATGGGTTCATAGGTACTTTCTTATTATTTATATTACTAATCTAACCTAACATGCTTGTTTACAATAAACAATATGAAAAAATGACCTATACTAACCGCACAATAAAATTGTGATGAAAAGGGCTGTTGTCAAACTAAATTAGTAACGCCATCTACATTTTGAAGGGTAAGTTATTGGAGATGATTCACTTTTATATTGAAAGATTATACTAAACGCGGTTGAATGATTTAATAAAGCATTCAATATAAAAATGGGGAGTTTTACCAATTTTACAATAGGTGTAAAAGTAGTTTATCTATATTTTTATTTATTCTTAGATTTTGTGATTTCGCCTAACTATACCCAGAAGAGAGAACAGACAAAATGTTGGATACATTGATTTTCGTTAAAAATATGTTGCGGTGCACATTTTTTTCTTCTCGAATATATATTTTGCCATAATATTCAACAATATTTATGGACAGTAAAAGGGAACAATATGGCATTATAAACCACGAATTTTCTGAGATTTAAAATGTCAAATAAGTAGAAAGGAAGCAAAAAGAAAATGGAAATTATCAGGTTCGACTTGCGTTTGTCGCGTACAGGAAATCAGCGTACATTTAATGATTATATAATTCGAATGCAATTTATAAACAAGTTATTATGAAAACAAATTAATGTGTTAAATTTTATAGCCATTATATGGCCAAAACCTACTCTGAAGCAAAGTGTATTAGATTCAAGCTTCAGTGTTAATTGTTATGTTCTATTTTTAAATGCTTGCTTTATTCTAAGATGAAACACATTTTTTATTCATATTTTATTATTATATTGCCAGTTGCTGCAAAACTATTTTTCGTTTATTAAAAAATGCAAATTTAAGATATCCTTAAGCAATTTTTGAAGAAATAATAAGTACCCTTATTATTTTAGCATTATTTGACTAATTCTCTAGTTTTGGTTTAACAATTACTATCTGATTGAGGGATTTAACTAGACAGTTTTATCGATCGAATAATTATTATAGAAAATGTTTTATATTAATGCAACTCACACTATAGGTATGTAAACCCAGGGTCTAAAGTATACTCCCATGTGGTTAAATTGTAGTCTTAACGTCATTAGTAACAATTTTTTTGTTATACATGTTCCCAGTGGACTTATTGGCTCGAGAAGGTTGCTGTACTCATTTCTATGTGAGTAATTGAGTGGGTTAATTCGTCGAACCACACTGATGTCAGACATTTTTCAAAATCTACGGTTAAATTCTAAACTAGATAATATTTCGCAATTAGATACCATATTCTCTTGAAATCGGTCTATAAATCACAATACCACTCTCTTTGTACTGTTTACTTCTGAGGTCTTACTCCGCACTATTTGAGCGTTGCATAATTTCAGTAGTCCAATAACTACTTCGCGTATAAAGTTCTACATGTAGGCTTAGAAGCCATTTCCCGTACTGCCCGTATCTTCAATACAAGCGGGCCGGTTAGCTCAGGCGGTAGAGTGTCTATCACGCAGAACGCAGGGAATCGATGTCAGGGCCGGCAAAAACATCTAGATATTTTTAAAATATCTACAGGTCCAGGTCGACTTAGTCTGAATAAAATGGATACCTTGGGTAAATAATGGGCGGTTTAAGCGTAGCACTGACCCTGTTAACTTTCCTTGTATACTGTAGCCCCAAAAGATAATCCCAAAGCTGTACTATACCCTGGTCGCTTAAAAGATGGAATCCAAGATCACATGATCACTCACTGCAAGCATCGACAGGCGGTCAAAACTAGAAACTGTTTACACCGTCATTATTTGTGTCATGATACTATAACTTAAATGTTTTATGTATTAGATTTGTGTTTCGCTTCCGTTGAAATTTAGAATTTTAATCTACACGCAAAAGCCAATAAAATGTTTAAATTTAATGTAAATCAATAACCTGTAAAAAAACGGTATAAATATATTATAACGAGTGTTAGTTCGTTTTTGTTGAGCGGTGTAAATGTGCGAAAAGTAAAGAGGAATATTTAAGAGTGCGTGCCATTCACGTGATCTTCTAATTTGCAGTTATAATCCAGACTCAGAGTAAGTGTTGTTTACTCAAAAATTAAACCCTTGAGATACTTTAATTACCAGGTTATACCAACTTCCGGTAGAATTGTATCAATTGCTAAATTTTATTGCAAAACTTCATATCCATAGTCCAAATTATATTTGAGTCAGCGTCTATGCATAAAGGTGAGAATTACAAGGTTCAAGGCAATGGACTTTTAGATGAATCGATGTTTTATTTGTGAGATTATAAATTGGGGTTGAAGGCTTTTGAGCACGTAGTCTAATTAGAATATTCACCTCATAAACAACGTAAGTCATTGTTTGAAGTTGCGTCGAGTGTATACTTATTAGCTACCAATAAAAAAATTACTCTACGACTCTAGGAATGATTTCATTGGTCCATTGGTCCTTCGAGCCATTTGATTCTTTTTCTTCAGGTGATTGGCTATTAAAATGACGATCTTGCGTACAGCATTTCTCTTAAGCTAGTTAAGTGCTGCTCTAGCTTGTTCTATTCTCGCCTTAATTTCTGAGGCCGGATCCCATTTTGCATTTACGTTGGTGTCAAAGTATATGTAAGATGTGACTTAGTCAATTAGTATGTTGTTTATCCGTAACTGTCACACAGATTGTTGCTTTTTGCATATGAGCAACCATTTTGTTTTTTTGAAGTTTAGGCTTAGACTGTAGTTCTTACTGACTACATTAATTCTTTCCATTGCATGTTATAATTCATCTCTGCAACTGGCAAGGATCATAGTGTCATTGACATATTATCTTATGTTGTTCGTTAACTCACCGTTTATTTTTACGCTCTCTGTTGCATTTCCAGACATTTTTTCAAATAGTTCCTTGGAGTAGAGATCACAGTTTCAATAAGTTCATCGCCTATTTTTACTCTTGCTGTTTAACACCAGTGTAGGTTTGCCACAATCCGAATATCCTTGTTGTCAATACATCTATTAGTTGTTGTAGTACATCTATTAGTTGTTGTAGTACATCTATTAGTTGTTCATGTTGATATTGTCAGATGCTTTTCTATAAGCCACAAAATACAAATACACATCCTTATTAACTTCGTTCCATAAAAATCGTTTCTCACGTGTGAATTGTTTGAGCTGTGTTATGTTTGAATGTATACTTATCTTGCTATTTTTCACATAGTTGTTTGGAACATACATTGTACATAATAATGCGTCGGATACATCTTTCTAGTACTTACTGGTAAGAAAACCAGCCATATTTTCTCTTGGTGTTCAGTTTTTGAGTCTAGTATTTTGGTCCACTTTAGGAATAGTACAAATGTTTGTAATTGGCAGTTCATCATTGTGGAATCTTTATTTATTAGAGAACTAGCTGATCCAGCGAGCTTCTTACAGGTGATATTAACTTTTCTATATTAAGATAAAAGTAATGATGAAGTTCAATAAAACTTCAAAAACGAACTAATTCACGTAGCAGCAAAGCCATTTACTGCATAGGTTACACCCGTGTCGATTATCTTCCTCAATCGTGTCGCTTCGTGTCGATTATATTCTTAAGGTTCTTTTTCATTTTGTTGTCAAGATCGAGAATGGAATAAAGGAGATGGTTTGTCCTCACGTCAATATGCTACGTACAATTATTTATAAGAGAAACAAATATTTTCTATAACAGCTGCTCAATAATATCTCAAAAGCGATTTTCTCCACTAACAAATCGCCTTCATTGGTCTCTATCTTCAGCTGCTTTAAGAGTTTCGCAGAATGAGTGGCCTGCTGAATTCTGAATTTAGTCTGTCCATCTGGTTGTTCTTCTCCCCGGAAAGTGTCCAGAATACAAAACGAATCAACTATTAAAATATTTAATTTCCTTTGAGTTTTCTCACCACCAAAGTTAGTCTTTCTTACGTTGAAACTGTTTTTTTTTGCTTGTTTACTGTTTACTCTAGAGTAGAATAACGTTTGTTCAAATGGATCACTTTGGCAAATGGAAAGTCAACACATTGAGAAATATTCCATGGCGGAAAATAAACTAGTTGACCGTTCTCCAAATGCACTGCCAAATATATAACAGTGGGATGACGTTTATGAATACTCCAAATCGCCTCACTGCAGCTCACATGTCGATGAAGTTGATATTACATGATTTCATCGTTGATATTGAGATTTTGAACGCCAAAAACCGCCGGATCGCTACCTTTTGTTACATATTTGCAAATGTATTTGATGGACTTCATTGAATTGCATGATCGACCTGGACCCTCAGCATTTCTGCTCGAGAGATCCCTTCGGATTGTTCCGGCAACAATTGCATCTTTAACCCTGTTGCAGGTAACTAGTGTCAATGCACACAACGGCTTTTCGTGTTCTCAGAAGCAAGGGACGGTTCGTTACACTTTTTAGGAATAAAAATGCCGTACAAATCATAAAAATCTGTCCAGCCGTTCTTGAATTATAAATGATGTAACTAATACGATTTTGTTTATATATAGACATGTTTTTATATCGTTTCGCTATTTCTGTAGTTTTTTCGATTCTCTTCTGTATTAATTTTCTATGTTATCCACTCCCAGTGTTTTTCTGATTTTTCAATATACTTAAAGTTATCATTAGTTAATGTTTATTCATACAGTTAACTTTTACAGAGTATCGAATATACTAATCTCAATTTAACTTTAAGATAATTAAGTTTAGTCAAATCCCTCAAACTATTACAATTATTTGTAAATATATCATTTAGTTTTTTGCAATTAATCACATTACAGTAAGTTGTCTTATACCTACCAAAGTTATATGTTGATTTTATGTGATTCACATATTTAACGTTTTAATGTATATAAATGTTAGTAACGATAAATCGTCAAAAATCGTTTCTGTCATTTAGTTTCGTTCGTGCAATTTTAAAAGAGCAGCACTTTTTTGTATAAAAGTATTATTAGAGGGTAGAAAATATATTTTCGGTTTAATTTGTATAAATTTATAGTACAATAAATTTTTTTAATAAACGTGTTTTTGTACTCCTTCACTCCTTTAAGTATGTTCCATGCATCGGATATAATATACTAAGGATGGAACATGTTAATATTTTTACATGTAGGATCAACGACGGAACTGACGTCACACTATCGGCTACAATGTCTATATAATATGAATTTGACAGGTGATTAATTTGAATATAGTTATGCCCGATATTTTTATGTTAAACAGGTAACAATACGTGGTAAGTCAATAATGTAATGTATTCTTTTTGGTTAATCAACAAATTCGTTAAGTTTTTAATATCTTGCACCCAGTCACATCAGTGGCGTGCGATGCTTAACCATGTACCTGTATAATATATTTATTTTTATGTTATACTAATAATTCTTTAATTTTACAATGTTACAAGTCATTATATTTTTTATTCAAATGTAAATAACAACGAAAATAATTACCATTGTACATATTTGAGGCGTTCAGAACCTTTCACGAAAATTAAGTTAGCGGTGTATCTATGTTCTACAAATATAAATCTTTTCGGTACTATAACAAACCACGTCCAAAGTTACCGCAATAATAAACAGATGGCGTTAGTTTAATATGTCTTTGAACAATGTGTCGGCCTATTATTTCGCGACATAGTGGATCAAGTCCAGTTGACTAGTCAGATTGTGCTCAGTGTATTTATCATGATCGTTTATGTTTAAAAATGGATTCATCATCTGATAATTATATACCTCCAGAACACTCGTCTGCAGAATCGGAATTATACTCCATTCCACGAATATACGACTGTTTTAAATTCGCTTTAAGGTGTCGACTTAAGTGGTCCAATGTGCTGAATTGTACAATGGTAAATTCTCCCCATTTTTAAAATACTGTTATGACAGATATAACACCTTAAGCTGGATTTATAGTTTGACGGACTGTAGACGCAGACGCACTGGAAAAAGATCAACATAGACTTTTGTGTACTCTTATTTATAAATGAACGTAAACGCAAGACGGGACGTAAGCGAAACGCACTGTAACGGAAGATTTGGTCAACTTTCATCTTTTACAGTGCGTTACTTGCGTCTGACCAATCAAAAGGAAGAATTTTGTGCTGTCAACCAAAATGAACTGTCTGGCACGCCCACAATTTTGTAAAGTTGCTTATCAACATATTCGAATTTTTATTTTGTTGATTATTTGTTACAATGGAGGTTAAGAATTTATAAAATAATAATAATAGATAATAAAATGATATTATAATATCATGGTCACCAACTCTAGCCGCTGTTTCTACTCATGCGCAAAAATTCCACTCCGTCGATTTATAAATTGAAATTATATTTACAGTCCATTTGTTACGTCTCCAGTGCGTCTACGTCTACAGTGCGTCAAACTATAAATCCAGCTTTAGATTTAAATATGAAGTTATGATCTAAATATAGAATTGATAGTTTATAGAATAGTTGTAATTCAGATTTTGACGTATACTCGTATAATTACTCTCATTGACTAGTATTGTAAACAAGTTGGTTTTTAAATTAAGTGATTTAAACGAAGTGTAACAATACTTAAGTGATTAAATAGTTTAATTTATTTAGTCGAATATTCAATTAATATTAAAAAATCAAAAAAACTTACCTTACTCTTATTCTCCTAATCACCATTACAAACAAATACACTACACTAAACTCTCTCTTAACGGACACGTCTCTTCACCGGACATCTATATACGGACTGTTTTTAAAACTAAAATCAGTCGGCGATTTGATGAAACTGTATGTAAATTTTCGTTACTTTTTAATATCTGTAATGACTGTACTTTAACTCAATAGCCGCCATGTTATACCCGTTACTTTCGGAACTTTTAAGAATATATCCACTCAATGCAAACAAAAAACTAACAAAGTGGAATACTAGATTCTTTTCCTGGTTTCTAAACCATCGTTCTGCCAATTTCTTTTTATTTATATTAAAAATATATTTCTTTTTATTACCGTTGTAGTACCTACCTAATAAAGTAATAAAGATACCCGGCGCGCCTCTTTGGTGTTTACATTTCACCGAAATCTAACCCAAATGGCTGATGAACACATTTTAACTTCATAGAGGTCATTGTATTTACCTATTTGTAGGAGCGTTTACGTAAATTTTTTTGTTATTTTCGGATTAATTTTCACAATAAATTTTGCGTGTATCTGAACATCTACTAACTGAAATAATTTTAGTTTATAATATGTAATAGTAACAGAAGATCCTTTTTTTATGGAATAATAATTAGACCAATTTACTTTCATACTTCTACTTGTACAGTAAAATATTCGTTGTAGCAATAATTCCAAACAGTCGTATATTCGTGGAATAACCTATAGCCAATGCACTTATTGTTAAGCAAAATATTCACCTAGCAAACTCGAGATGTACTAAAATCGGACAGTGATGACGCATTAGATGAACACTATGTTACTACTTTTTACCTCCAAAAAGCACTGCCATAAACCCGAAATTGTCTACATCCATTGCATATTACAAAAGAAATATATAATATGTCGATAACCTAGGAATTCATTCTTTCAACAAGAACAAGGGCTTTATGTATGTGTGCGACGAAACAGATGGTGGTAGAGGATCTAAGAAAATATCTTCAATATTGACCATGCATCTGAGAAAACATGGCAAAAATCATAACCACGTAGGTAACTCTCTATCCAGATTCATGTACAGGATAAAACATAAATTTTAAAGTGGCTGCTGCGTTATTAAATCTTGTTCTAAATGCTTACATAAACATAAGAACGATAGATCACAAGTTTCTTGTATCTGGCCACTCCTTTTTGCCAAACGACCGATATTTTGGGGTTATTGAAAAGGCTGCCAGAAAATATTCTCACATCTTTGGACCAGAATGGATTGATGTAATAAAAACTTCAAAATTGCCTTTTGAAGTAACTAACATAAAAAGGAGTGACAATGTGTCGACAAAGAACATAGATGTGCTTATAAATAGAAAAAAGATAGTGATGGAGCACCTGTGAAGTGGTTAGAAATGAGATGGATGAGGTATGAGAGAGACGATCTTTGAGTTTTGACGGACAAGATTTTCCGTTTTTTACTGTCTCGATGGCCAAAACAAATGTCTCAAAATTCATTGGTAATCAAAGTCATCTGTACTCCACACTCGTGACATAAGCAAAGAAAAAAGACATGCTTCTCTCCTCCCATATCTGCACCAGTCACACACAATTATTTTAAAAATCTCTGCATGAACACAGAAACCCGTTCACAAATCCAGCAACAGGGTGAAGAAGACATAGACGATCATGAACTGGTCTAAGATGATTAAAACTAATGCCACTTAAGCTGTGAGAGTATTATTGAACATTGTTGTAATAAGTTTTTATTTGTGATTATTTTTTGTAACTAAAATTACAGTTTTGGAATTTTAGTTACAAAGGAATTTGGTCTGAGTGAGAGAAAAATGAAATATTTGTAGATTTCTGGCGAAGTGAATATTTTGTAATAATGAACAGTGTTCCAATATTACTCGGAAGAAGATTGACCACCTAGAGGTTACCTATTGATACAAAAGATATATATTTATCAAAAATGGATACAAACAAAAAACTTGATCAAAACCGTAAAGGCATACCTAATTAAGTTATTTTGGATGGAGCTACTTACCTTGTTCATTCCGTAAAGTGGGAAATTTGTTCACGAATACTACATTTTTGACTCTGTCTTCGACTACTATCACTGCCTGCACGGTCCAATATAGACCAAAAGATGCCACAGTGTTTCCGAACAACAAATTTAGGGAAAAAAGACAGGAATTTATACTTTCTGGAAGGTAGAGACACAGAATAATTGCTTCTTATTCTATGATAGAAGTATTTTCAGAATCTAAATTTACATTTGGGTATAGTACATGGTACCATACCCAAAAATAATAATAATGGATTTATTCTTGTTGGGAGTATAAAAATATAAACTTAAAATGAACAGTTAGTAATTTATTTTTGATCGGAACTCATAATAATTGTCACTAAAATATACTTCAAAACTAGACTTCCTAAGGAAGCAAGATAATGTACAAAAAGAGTGTTTTAAATATAATTTAATAGTAAATTTCTCTAAAAATATAAACTTAAAATTAACGATTAATAATTTATTTTTCATCACAATTTATTATAATACTTCAAAACTATTCTTCCTAGGGAAGCAAAAGAATCCCTTTAATATAGATTAATATAATTCAACAGTAAATTTCTCTCTAATGTTAACTCCTGGTTTTCTAACCACCAAAACTCTATCCTCATGAGTGTACGAAGTAGTTAGCTCTACAGTGCCGAGACTTTTGCTAGTTAGCTTTGCCCCCTTAATACCCTTGGGAGGGCCTAAGATGACAAGTCTCTCCACCCATTCTTTGGTTGGGTAATCAGTATTATCCACTAAAACGCTGTTAAAAGTATTATCCTCGAAACTAAAGTGCAAATACAAATATTTCTTGTTTTTGTACTCAAAACTTTCATTATCATCTACATAAAGGTACCCACTAGCCTTTTTGTTAGAATCTAAAGCTATGTATAGGGTAAACGGATCGTTTTTCATCAAAGTAGATGCTCTTCTCGGCCTATCCTTCCTTGGTATAATACTACCACCTCTGTAAAACGCTAAACTCTTGTCTAATGTTACTGGAATGTTGTAATTTCCGGTTCCTTGGTACAATTTGAAGTCTTCAATGTCATACCAGTATTCATTAGCACCTCCTGGTAAGTAAATGCTTACGCTCGAAGCTCCCGGTTCTGCGATCATTGCGGCAAGGACTGAATCCCCTACAAGAAGTTCGTTGTCAATATCGAGCACGTTTTCATCCTTTGGATATTGGTAGAAGAGAGGTCTGATCACAGGCTCTCCCTCTGTTTCATGTTGCCAAAACAGGGTGTAGAAGAGCGGTAAGTGAGCATATCTGAGCCTGTAAAAAAAAACAATTATTTAGCTAAAAATATATTGTTAGAACAAAATTTTTACCATTTACAAGTTGTCAAATACCAGGATAAGCAAGAATTATATTACAAGATCCCACTGCAGGATCACTGCGTTCATAACGTAATTAATCAAACTCACATATGTATATACATTTAAAATGGGGAGAATATATTAATAATAGGTTGTGAGTCAAAAGGTGGCAGCAAATATGTTTAATTCAATAATTAATTAGGAAAATATACTAACCTTAAAGCAGTTCTAATCCTGTTCTTGACATCATCAGAGAAAAGATATGGTTCTCTCCTTCTAGCATCGATATGTGCGTGTGCCCTGAAGAACGGTAACCATACAGCAGCTTGATACCATCTTTGCAATAACTCCGTATCAGGATTGTGGAAGTAACCTCCGACATCGGCACCACAGAAACTCATGCCACCTAGAGCTTCACTCAGACACATCGGGTAGCTGATAGCTAAGTGAGACCATTCAGCGGCGTTGTCTCCAGTCCACATTGCTGTGTAACGTTGGGATCCGGCAAAGTGTCCTCTAGTGAGGATGAATGGACGACGATTTGGTGTACGTTGGAGAAGTCCTTGGAATGTAGCATATGTCTAAAAAATGTAACTTTTAATATCCAATTATACAATACCAACGATTAATGGTTCTTATATTATCTTATAAAAAAGATTGAAAAGTACCAGGATTTGGTTTTGTTGAGACCGCAATCTCTTGAACGCCATTTAAATCATTTTAACGCCCAAGCGATATTGCTACTCTCGCAAGACAGTAGACACTTTGGAATAAAACAAGGTTTTGAAAATGATTTCTTAAATTTAATAGAAAGCTGAACTCAACCACGACTCAATCGGAGAACTAAATAATTTGAATTGAACCAGTGTTGTGTTGAATTGGGAGCTCAAATATTCTATATTTTTTTGTGTGACGTCATAAAGTTATATGGCCGTCAGATGGTAGAGGTGTCGTTATTGTTAATCGAAAAGTTGGTTCGACATTTTGGACAATACTGTCATATTTTGAGATATGCAAGGTACAGGTTAAATTAGTAGAAAAAAAAAATCAAATGGTGGATACTAAATGATGAGAAAGGTATTACTATTAAAGGATTACGGCAAAAATAGTAGAAAAATTGATCTGAAACAGTATTATTGATAAAAAAATATCCAGCCAAAGCAAAACTTATGTGGCTCAGAATCTATTATATAAAATTAATCCATATTTCCCTATGCCACATCATAACTTAAGAATGACTTTACCGATTTCTTTTTTTTTAAGTTTCCTAATATTATTTAGAATGCTCTTACGAAAACAATGTTTAAGACAGTTTACAGAAAATTGAAAAATTTCAGAAAACGATTATTTCAATTTTGCACGTTAAAAAATTTCGGGTTTGACAGCTACCACGATGTAAAGGTCATACTGGGTAGTACAGTGTTGAGTATCCTCGCTTCTCACACGAGAAACCAGAATTCGATTCCCCGCCAGAGAGAATTTTTTCTTGATTCATTAACTTTTCAAGTAACCTGAGTATATCTTTCACATCTAAATTATCTTCAACACAGCCTTTTTTTATCTTTCGTTTTTGAAATCTATATCTATATATTTGTTAGTCCCCCTTAAACTTGATAACGACTGGACCGATTTGGCTAATTGTGCTTTTGAAATATTTATAGAAGTCCAAGGAAGGTTTAAAAGGTGAGAAAATATGACGAAATTGTAAGGAAATAGTAAAAGCAACAATTTTATGTTCCCATGCAAACACTGATATCGCTACCTTGGAAGAAGACCGTCATATAAAAAAAATGAAAAATGGACTATGTTAGTGAACAGATTTTAAATATTTTATATTTTTTTGTGTGACGTCATAAAGTAAGTTTATGTCTAGGACCGTCAGATGGTAGAAGTGTATTTATTGTTAATTGAAAATTTGCCAAGACCAAACGGAATAACCAACGAGCTTCTAAATCACGGAGGGGAAAGTATAACCCTAGAGATGATAGAACTTATACAAACACTAATATTGCACTGTAAGATACCAGACGCATGGAGAAAAGAAAGGAGATAAAGAAGACCCCAACAATTATAGAGGTATAAAAGTACTGAACAGCGCACTTAAGCTTACCACAAAACTCCTAACCAACAAAATCAATAAACTAACAACTTTATCAGATGAACAACAAGGATTCAGATCCGGAAGATCCTGCGTAGACACCGTATTTGTACTAAGAAAAATCGCAGAAAAAGCCGTCGGGTACAATAAACCAGCATATCTATGTTTTATAGACTGACCAAGGCTTTCGATCGCATCCAAGTCGAAGACGTCTTACACCTACTGTATAAAAGAAACATACCAATCAATAATATACAAACCATCGAAAACATCTACTTCCATAATCGATTACTGGCAAAGATAAATGGAAAACTAACACAGTGTATACCAGTACAAAGCGGAGTCAGACAGGGTGACTCGTTAAGCCCACTTCTCTTTAATATAATAACTGACGAAATAATACAAGCAGTACGTGAAAGTCATGGTTACAGAATGGGAGACAAAAAATCCAAATATTATGTTATGCAGACGACGCCATATTAATCGCCGAGCCAGAAGACGAGCTCCAAAGATTAACACACATCTTTAATACAACAGCCAAGAGATACAATATGATAATATCAGCAGAAAAAAACAAATGTATGACAACATCTACATACCCACTACTATGTAAAATCGAAATTGATGGGAATAATAAAACAGGAAGCAAGGTTTCGATATCTTGGAATAGATATAGGTAACTAGTTACGGAGATGTTGAAGGAGAAGTACGACTATAAAGCTTAAAAGCAAGTAAAGCGGCGGGATCTCTTAACGATAAAATCTGGAAGAACAAACACCTAAGACACCCAAGACAAGACACAAAAACAAGAATCTGTAAAGCAGCAATTAACACGGCGGAGACAAGACCTGACACATCTAAAACGAGACGACTACTCGAAACAACAGAGATAAAAAGACATCGACGAATATCAGGGAAAAGTCTGTTGGATAGGGAGAGAAGCGAAAACATAAGAAGGGCATGCAATAAAGAAGACATAAATGGATGGGTGACAAAACGGAAACAGGAGTGGAGCGAACACATTAGTAGAATGGCAGAGGATAGGATAGTATGAATAGCACGAGATAAGTCACCAAATGGACGAAGAAGTACTGGCAAACTAAGAAAAAGATGTAATTTAAACAATTTAGGAGGCTAATATTGAAGAAGAAACAGGCTTTAAAGCCTAAATACAAGAAGAAGAAGAATAAAAGTTGGTTCGACACATTTTGCACAATACTGTCATATTTTGAGATATACCGTCCTTTCTCAAAAATACAATAAGACAATACAATACTTTCTGTGAACAATAATGCATTATTTTGAATTGTGTCAGTATTGTAAAGAAGTTAAAGTTATGTTTAAAATGAGTTATGATATTATTTTTGAGTATTTCAGTATTTTAAAAAATTATTAGAACTTTTTAAATTTTTGAACCCAGGCATACCCAGCTGTAACAAATTATTTCGACTTATGACGTTCTTAAAAAAATACGATTGGAATTATTTCAGATTGTAAAAATATTTCAAAGATTTAGGGGTAGACTCATGTTAAAGTTGACTTCTACTATATTATACTCTTTGGAAATCTTACTATTATCTTAAATAATAAGTTTTAAAAGAATAAGTTTTAATTTAAACAACTTAAAAATAACTAAAGTTTTTAACTGGGAATAAGCCACAATTAAAGGTTAAAATAGGTTTATTGGCGTTTCAATTTCCACTTAGCAAATCGTTCTCAAAATACAAACCAAAGTTGTGACATGAAAGCAGAGAACATACGAACACAGAGAAGCGACACGAGGCCCGGAATTCGTGTCTCTTTTCTGTATACGCATGACCCAAATAAGGTGCTTTACTGTCAAAAACACGTGCGTTTTCTTCAACTTTAAGTTGCTTACGATAGTCCGTAGGCATCTGTGGTAAACTCTCGACTATACAAGTCTGATACAAGTGCATTTGACCATTTATCTAATTATATAGTAGTTAAAAGTTTATAGTTATAGTTTTATAGTTATAGTTAAAATATATAAGTTAAATATATAAGTTTATAGTTATAGTTTATAGTTAAAAGTTTAATTTATAAGTATTTAAAATGTCTTCTGGTTATTGTTGTGCGTTTCGCGAATGTTCATCTGTGACAGGAAAAGGAATAAGTTTATTTAGATTTCCTAAGAATAATAACAGGTAATTACTATTGCTTTGTAATTATTATTAGTTATTACATAATAGTATTAATTTGACTTTGAGTAAGCCGACACCTACGTGTCCGCCCGAGCTCTCGTAAAGTGAAGCAATAAAAAAATAAATTTTGGTTTGCCAAGGGATAGTTCAGAATAAAAACCAGAGAACTACGAACACACATTAAATTTATTGTCTCCGAAGGCTCAGGTCAAAAAATCAACACAGATGTTGGCCTACTGGTGTGAAAGCGCTCGCAGACAACAATACGAATATAGTATTTTTAGGAAATAAAAATATATAGAGGGTTTTATACACGAGAATATTATTTGATTTAAACGAAACAAAGAAATTCCTAAAATGCTCAAACTAAAAATTGTTGGAAACATAATTAGATCGAAAATTGGGAAAATCTTAAAATTATAACAGAACAAGACTTCAAAATAAAAACATGATTGCAAATAAACAAACTTACATTAACATAACTTCAAATATTTGCTGTCTTTTTCACCAAACGAACTTACATTAAATTATGAAAAAACTAAATGCTCATCTACTTTTTGCTATATACAAAAGTTGTCTGTCAATGTTTAATTCGTTACATGTAAATAACAAAGATCAAATATATGGATCGGAGTACACAACATATTTAGGGAATAAATATTTAAATGGGAATTACAAATAAAAAATATTAAAACTTTATTTATTGTATATCTCAATATTTAGTGACAATTTTGAGACTTAATTAGGAGAAAACTGTAAATTTATTAAGATGAGATATTGACAAAAGTTAAATACTTCATTACTTACAATACACTTAGAATATACTAATACTCTTATAGTTGTAAGTAATGAAGTATTATTTATAAATACAAAAAATTCTTTGTTTAAAATTTGTTCTGTTAAAAATTTGTAGTGCCAAAATGTGGATAGAAGCTTGCAGACGAGAAGATTTATTGTTAAAAATGGATATACTTTATAATAGTTATAGGATTTGTGAACTACATTGTGAAGATAATCTTATTGTCAAAAAAAAAAAATAAAAGAAAAACATTAGTGCATGACGCAGTACCTTCCAAATTTCAATATAATACGATAAACACAATTGGGAAATATTAAAATTACAACAGAACAATATTTCAAAATAAAAACATGATTGCAAATAAACAAACTTACATTAACATAACTTCAAATATTTGCTGTCTTTTTCACCAAACAAACTTACATTAAATTATGAAAATACTAAATACTCATCTACTTTTTGCTATATACAAAAGTTGTCTGTCAATGTTTAATTCGTTAAATATAAATAACAAAGATCAAATATATGGATCGGAGTACACAACATATTTCGGGAATAAATATTTAAATGGGAATTACAAATAAAAAATATTAAAACTTTATTTGTTGTATATCTCAATATTTAGTGACAATTTTGTGACTTAGTCAGGAGAAAACTGTAAATTTATTAAGATGAGATATTGACAAAAGTTAAATACTTCATTATTTACAATACACTTAGAATATACTAATACTCTTATAGTTGTAAGTAAACAGACATAAATCTTACTCCAATCAATCATTATTTATTTACACCATAATATAATTCCACAACAGACAACGGAAGATTTGACCAATAATTTAAAGGTAAATGCTCCAAATATACATTTTTACTTCAAGAAATTAAAGGTTACGGAGTACCAAGCAAACTTTAAAGTTTCATATCCATTGGATTATAAAAATGAAGTTATCAATCTCAGTATCTGGCCTGAAGGTTCAATGGTTCGTCGTTTTGACTTCAAGTATAAGAATTGTACTAACCGCAGTTAACAACAAAACCAGAAATAATTGTTACAAATCCGGCTTAGGCAAACTAGATACTACAAATAATTTTAAAGGCAATACCAATCAACTAAAAATCGTATGTATTAACTCTGAATCTATTGTAAACAAAATAAATTGTATCCAAATATTAGTTTAAACTGAAAGTCTGGATTTACTATGTATATCCGAATCATGTGTAATGACAATAATATAAATTCGTTTTATCTTCCTAATGCTCTCTTGTAATGATTCGTAATACTTTTTTGATTATTTTTTAGGTTATTACATTTTTATATTTATAGAAATATTTTATATGTTTCCAAGACATTAACAATCGATATCAATATAAAGTTTCTTGTTTCTCAGTCTCACCCAAAGAGAATTGGAATTTTTAGAGTTTGTTAAATTTCCGTGGCAGTTACAATGGCTTTGTTATTTTTCGATTATATTACGAAAGATAATTTATTAGGAAATTCCACGACGAACAAATTATATCTTGTATCAACACAAGCCAAAAAGAATCGGTGTATTATTGTATTATCAACGTCAACATCAGAATAAACAAAAAAGTATTTTTTTCAGTGCAATATTTCATATTTATTGAAAGTCAACATAAATGCTCAATTTTATTTAAGAATTTATATTGTGTAATATGCCCACTGACTATTAAAAAATAAGGTGCTTTCCTGTCATTTTCACTCGTTGGCGGCTTGCCCACGCAAGATCAAAGGAGTGTCGCTTCTCTGCGTTCGTAGTTCTCTGATGAAAGGCCCAAAATATCGATCCCTACACTGTATAATTTAATACACACAGCACATAACATAAATATATCATGGCTACGTGATTTGAAGGACTAAGAGTTGATTTAATTAAAAAATGTTGGTAAAATATAAGAAATTACTTTTATACTGGCAAAAGCAACAATTTTTGGTTGAACTTTTTTCAACCAAAAAGTGTGAAAAGTGGTTGCATACTTACATGTGCTAAGGCATATTCGTTGTGAATATCTCTGTGCTCCCACCCACCATGATGTTTAGTATCCTTGGGCATGGTTATCTCAGGTCCGTTGAAGACAGAAGGTTCGTTCATATCGTTCCAGATGTAAACGTCGTGGCTGGTTCCTTTAAAGTTTTCTAATTTGTACAAGTTTTTGTAGTACTCAGCAGCTTCTGGTTTATAGAAATCGATATAGCTACTCGATCCTGGCCAACACCATCCTTCATATACGTTGTCGTCTTTTGTTTTTACGTAATAGTCGTTTGCTAGACAGTCTTCGTGAACAAAGTATCCTAGAACAGCAAAAAATGTATAACGACACTAATTCATAATTAGAGAACAGCATGGCGCAGTCAATTTAATAATTTTAATACTGAAGAATAATAAACAAAGACTCAAAGTAACCACAAAAGGATTAGTGTCTAAAAAAGGGTTATTAACGAAGAAATCTAACACAGAACGAATGAATGAATGAAAACGAAACTGTATATTTATTAGTTACGAAAAATATATTTTATTAATATATGTAAATTCTGACATTCGTTACCTGCTTCTCTCTTGTAGTGTGGATCAATAATGACGATCAGTTTCCTACCAGTTGCTGTTAAATTCTTTATCATTTCGTCTGGGTGTGGAAACTTATGGGGATCCCATGTGAAATACTTCTTTCTCTCTGGATACTCGATATCCAACCACATATAGTCAAGAGGCATGTCATTTTCATCAAAATTTTTAACAACCTTAAAAAAATATTTGATTGAATACATGATTATGTTATGAAATTCGCTTTGTAAGTTTTAAAAAGAGTTAAAAAATTTCAATACAATAATAGAGAATTCACCTATATTCTCAAAACAGTTGAGGAATTAACTCATTGATTGAGTAGTGGAAATACATAATGAGAGTCATCCACTATTACATCTTTTGTGATTTTAATTTCAATTCACTTGTAATACTCACTGTGATAACATCATCTTCATCATTGTAGTTCCATCGGCATTGGTGGTATGCCAAAGTGTAGTATTGAGGTAACGGATGCACGCCAGTGAGGGAGCCATATTGTTTGACAGCAGCCTTAGGTGTCGGACCCAACAAAATGAAAAGATCAGCTACACCCGATTCACTCATGAAGTGTACATCCACATTATTTTCAGATTTACTGCCTAAAACAAAACAAATACAAGGATATTTATGTGTTCCTGTTTTACATTATAAATATTTTAAAAAATCACAAAAGTACTTAAATGATGATATAAAACATTGTAAATCTAGGCTTGATGTTTTGTTTACACTGTCAATGTTGATTATAAAGATATTTACAGGACAGAAAAACCCTAATACAATTCTTTACTCACTCAATCTCGAAAAAATTGTTATAAAGAACGAATTTAAAATAGCGAAAATAAAACTACAATGGCTTGGCAATTGGTAAAAGAGATTAAGGGTAATTCCAAAAATCAAGGTAAGTTCTGTTTAGAAGGTGACCCTCAAGTGCTTTCTAATGAAATAGATCAATTTATGGCAAATGCAACACCAAAAGCTGCAAAGAAAATAAAGCATGTAAAAAATTTTCAAATTAATACCGAACAAAATAATCATTGCACATATTTAATCCTGTTTCAGAGAAATAAATAAGCCACATAATAAATAACTTAACAACCAAGCATAGCTCTGGTTATGATGAAATATCAACTAGCTTAATTAAAAATGTTTCATCAGAGATTTCTCTTCCTCTTTCTTTTATAGTTAATGCTTCTTTCAGGTAAGGTAACTTCCTCAAAGTTTAAAACTGGCAATTGTCAAGCCACTACATAAAAAAAGGGATGTTACTAAGATGGAGAACTATATACCAATAAGCCTTCTTTCATCATTCTCAAAAATAATCGAAAACGCGATATATTTCGGACTACAAAACTTTTTTACTACAAACAACCTATGTATTTAATAGGTCGGAGCATGGTTTTCTCGCAAGGAGATCTATTGAGACAGCTACCTATAATTTTATATCAAAAATTTTAGAAAAACTAGAGGCAAAAATGAAAACACTAGGTGTTTTTGAGACCAATCTAAGGCTTTCGAAAGCCTAGATCACGTTGTCTTATTACAAAAATGACATCGTTATGGAATACAGAGACCGGCATTAAAATGGATAAAATCATTTCTCACAGATAGGTCACAAAAAGTATGCTTGTAGAAAAAGAGATATAAGGTTAGGTTAGCTCTGAACCTATCAATTTAAATCTAGGCATACTCATACCTTGTAAATTTGGCTCATGACTCAAATGTGCTTTTCTAAAAAAAAAAAAACATTAGAAACACTCCTCACAGTGGCAGAGCAAACTCTAAGCAAGGCTGAACAGTGGTTCAGTGGAAATCGATTGTTGCTTAATACTGATAAGACAGTTGTTGTTTACGTTAGAACCAGCTAGTCACGAGAACAGTTTCCAGAAACAATCAATTTTCTATCAAAAACACGGAACAGATCAGTTAAATTTCTTGGTCTTCATATTGACCAGAACTTGAATTGGGGGAACAAATTCAAATTACAACAAAAAACTGAATAGAGCCTGCTACTCATTAAATGTGTTGAAGAGCTATCTAGACCAGAGGATTTTACTATCAGTATATTATGCAAACTTTTATTCTGTTATGCGATATGGAGTTATCTTCTGAGGTGCTGCAGTAGATAGCTCAAATGTCTTTATAGTCCAAAAAAGGCAGTCCAGGTGATCTTCGGAATAAACGCGGGAGAATCCTGTAGATGCCGATACAAATCACTCAATATACTCACTTTCTCAGCCATCTATATATTTAAATGTATTATGTTCCTTTTTAAACTTTTTACTTTGTTTTATCACCTGCTTTCCAATCATGAATATAATACAAGAAGCCTTAATTTGAATTTCCCATTTCACAGACTGTCTATAACAGAGAGAAATCCTTTGTATGCGTGTGTTAAATTTTACAATAAACTACCATCTGACATTCAACAGGAAACACTATAGAGCTTTTAAAAGAAAGGTTTTTCAACACCTAGTTAACATTGGAGTGTCTGGCCTATCATTTTCCCTGATCAGCATATTTACTGATACACATCTGAATGGTTTAGCAGCTTGGAGAAATCTGATAACTCGAGACAAAAAGGCAATATTTCTCACAGTTCACCTTAAATGAGTTTTATTGTAGATTATAGATGAAATAAATTTATGAATGCAAAGAAGAAGTCTTATCTCATGAAAAGTTTTCTTGAACAGGCAATTGGTACATGCTAATTAGATGCCGAGTAAGTGAAAGACTTTATTATGTATTGAAAAATTGAGAAATGCAGATTTATTTTGAAGACAAATTTGCTTACCTGATACTAAGTTTACTATTGAAGACATAACATTTCTGTCCCTACTGTTATTGATATCAACCCATGTTTCTGCAGCATTGTGCCAGAAAGCGCCAATTGTTCGTTTAGGAGAATGAGCATAGACAACTGGAATTGATCCATAAATGGCCATTGTAGAATCTAATTCATATTCAAACACATCCAAGTTGTATAGACGATATGGATCTACTCCTCCAGATCCAGTTGTTCGTAAAGAAACTCTGAAAATAAAATAGCAATGATTTAAACAGGTCATTTGTTTTCTTTTTATTTGCTTTTAATTGTATGAGTACTAAAATGAAAAATTACAACAAAAATATAAAAAATCCTCTTACTAAATTAATAATACAACAGTAAACTACAAGATCCAAAGTAAGATATTGATATTTTGCATTGCATCCCAAATTACAGTAAAATTCATCATGAACATACAAAGAACAACTAATGTCTCACCTATCAGCATGTTCAGGTAATCCATAAACCCTTAAGGCACCTGGAAAACTGATATCCAATCCAACAGCTGAAGGACCTTTTGGTTTGCTGTCATGGTGACTTTTGAAGTTTTCTTCCCAACTTCCTGGATCTTCAGCTACTTCTTGTCTTACTTCGTTATTCTAAAATAAAATGTTAATACTGTGAATGAAAAGTATATCTAATGCAGTCAAATGATTACATTAGCTAATGAAAAATAAATATTTAAGAGCAAGTTCTCGCTGAACAAGTTAAGAACGAGATCTAATACCAAAAAAACATAGCGGGAACACATGAAAGTACCCAAGTGAAAAAAGGCACAGAAAAAAGCGCAAATTGTATACAGGGTGTCCACAAACGCTCTTCACAACAGAAAACTTCATATTCTGGAAAATTAAAGATAGGATAGGATAGATAATTCCTAAAATTGGTTTAATTAAAATTTCTTCAAAATGATTGTGTTTTAAGTGATAAAATTCGTAGTGGAATTACACCGATGTTAGGGTGCCATTTTTAAAGCTTTGTTAGGAAGCATTTCTTGACACAAGTGATTTATTATGTCAAATGAACATAAAGTGAGTTCACGAATTGTTAGTTTTTTTTTATAAGGAGTGTTCATGGACACCCTACATTGTAGTGAAATATAAACAAGCCTCCAGACAATCAGATTCACTGACGTCACATTTTATAGAACCCATATCTGGAACCTGATAGAAGGATTAGTGGACATACTGATGAACACTCAGTATGTAAATAAATTTAAGAAGTATTTGTACAGAAGAATAAAAGTTGTAGATAAATAATGTATATTAATTGGACACAAGTCAGAGTGCAGTATAATTTGTTTAAATAATTGATAAATTACAAATAAATAGTTGTAGAAATTTTAATAGTAAAGACATTGGACTCTTTAAGCGATATTATTCGAAACTATAAAATATTTTTAAACATTCAGTTATAATACATTAGTTATTCAATTTTTGGTACAGACTATTAATTACTTTAAATCTATGTGTGATTGGTGGACAAAACTGCCCTACGGCAATAAAACATCTTATATTTGAGGAACAAGATGAAGATTCTTGTAGTTCTATAAAGGTCATTCAAGAATGATTAAAGGATCTCCTAAACAATAGCAGTGACAACCCCGAAGTATTCAAATTCCAGTCAGCAGATGAGGACCAATGAGAGTTCCAACAAAAATTTTGAAATGATCAAAGAAATTTCTAAAAAGACCAGTGGAAAACTAGAATGAGTTTCTAGAAAGGGCGATGAGCTTATTAACATGTTTATTAACTCAGTCCAACATCTAGGTAATTGCCAATGACCATGGACGTATCATCCATGCCAATGACCTTCAAAGCTTTTTTTTTCGTGAATGAAAAGGATGAAGATAAAAAAAGCACAGTAACCCATACAATCAATAAAAGAAGAGATTAATAATAATTATTGAGAAAAAAGGTGTCATTCAACCATCAAACAGTCCATAGAAATCATTTGTAATATTTGTATAGAGTAGTTCCAAGCATTTCGTATTGATCATAGCTTGCTCAACATGATATATTTAACTACAGGGGATGCGGGCTGATTGAAACCAAAACCATACTCTTGACAGAATCAGGACTTTAGGAATTTACAGTTATGTCTTTTGCTTTATGCAACATGTTTGGTTCATTTAAATCCTGATTAAAAGATCATTCAATATTCTACAGTCAGGCATTCAGTCTCCTTTTCTTTCTTGTGTCCTCTATTGTTCAACCTGATTATAGAGGAAGTAATAAAAAAAGTAGGAACTAAAAAAGGATACCAAATGGGAGAAAAACAACTTAAAATAATCTGCTATGCAGACGATGCAATACTACTATCTCAAAGTGAGGACGATTTACAATGTATGTTGCACCAATTTAATATAACCGCCAGAAAATTTAACGTGATAATTTCCCCAAAAAAGACAAAATGCATGATTACAACAGCAAATTTACTAAGATGTAAATTGGAGCTGGAAGGTCAGATAATGGGAGAAGTGATGGAGTTTAAATATCTAGCCATCACATGATCTAGCTATGGAAAGCTCGAAACAGAAGTGGAAAATCAATTGAATAGAGCAAACAGAGCCGCAAGCTGCCTTAATGAAACAATATGGAGAAATAAAAATATCGGGAAAGAAACGAAAGGCAGAATTTACAAAACAGTCATCAGACCAATAATGACATACATGGAAGAAACAAGACCTGACACAGAGAGGAAAAAACGAAAGTTAGAAACAGCAGAGATGAAACCACTTGGAAAAATTGATGGTTAGACACTGTGCTACAGAGCTAGAAGTGCAGATATACAACATAGATGTAAGGTGGAGAACATCAAGAACTGGGTAAGAAATAGAAGAGTAGAATGGAACTATCATATAAGCTGATAAGCCGAATGACAGCAAATAGAGTAGTAAATACAGCAAGAGATGGTTCACCAATAGGAAGACAATCAATATTAAGATTGGAGGCACATTGAAAAACAGACAGTCATGTCTATATAAAAAGAAGAAGAAGAAGAGAAAGGCATTCAGTCTGTAAATATATTTAAGAGTATATATTGTAAGTACTATACAAATTGTAAATAAATATTTAACTTAAAACTGACTGAAAGTTCAATATTAAGAAAATATTTGATTCTCCAAGGAATTTATTAAAGATATAATATTACCTCTCCTGATTTCTTCCTGTAGTGTTCAAATTTAAACAGACCTCTTCCATTAACAACACTGATGAGCTCATCTTTATCAAAGAATTCAATTTTGAACGGTCTAGCATGAACTATGACTTTGTTGTTGTTATATTCAATTGAAACATATTCTTTGTTCCTTTCAAGTAGTTTCAATCTAAAAATAAATAAAAAAATTTGAGTTATATATTAATATATAAATTTTTATATAATATTAATATTATATAAAAATTTTATTAATTTGAGCCAAGAAATATTAATTTCTTGGTTCACTCTGAAAAACTATTCTCGTAAAGATCATTTTAGAGTTATAAGTAGAATTCAAAGAAGCACAAAAGTAATCCTTTCAGGGATCAAGAACAAAAATAAGTTCTTTTAAATTAGCAAAGCTTATTTAATTGTAACACAGTATTTGAATTTTTATCTATATACTTGCTATACACATAGTGGACAACTATGTGGGCAATATATTTTGCAGTTAGATGGCATTAAGATGTTTGCTCAGTAAATGCTAGTTCCTAATTCAAATATTGGCACAATTCAATTGTAGGAACTGCGTGTGGCTAAATGCCAACCAATAAAATATATGTACATAAATCATTATTACCAACTGGAAAATTCAAGCAAGACAGAGCAGAATGTCATAGGAAGCTTGAGAAGGTTGAGACTCTTTAAGGGCTATAGCAATGTAATGATGATACATAAATATGTATGTAATTGTTGATATATTTGGAATATGCAATATGTTGATATTCCTTTACAAATAATTACTGAGATACAATTTTTGGTACTAACGTAGTAAGACGGAACTATGTATGCTGAAAAGAACCCTAGTACCAAAGACATTGAAAAATAAATATGCAAATGAAAAAGTTTTCTTACTTAGACTACATACATAATTCTTTTACTGGATATTGATCATCAAAGATACCCCAGAGATTCATTTTAATTATTATACGAAATAGTACTGAGATAAGCATTATTTTATTGTATTGCCTATTTAATGTACTGTCTCAACTCTATTATTCTAAGAAATATATAGCACATCATATACTTACTTGGCTACTTGAGGCTCACCATTTAAGGCAAATTGAGGTCTATATCTCGGATACAAAGGAGAAGCTTCATCAACTTGCAGCCTAAAGATGTTTCCACTAATAGCAGTTAGCGAAAATTTGAAAAGAATTCCAGATTCAGCGTTTAAAAGTTTTGACTCCAAAGAATTGTCGGTGATTTCTAATGATCCTAGATCTAATTCATACTTGCTTTCGCCGGGTTTAACGCTTCTTAATCGCCTTCAAATACAAATTTCTTTAGTACATAATTATTAATTAATGACACAAGAACTTACCTGCAAAAACTGCTTTGTTCACAAGTTTTAAAATTATTTTTATCTACTGCTGATACATAAAGCAGTATAGAGGATATTAAAGAAACATATCTAAAAATAAAAGAACACCTCAGTTAAATAAACTATTAAAATGTCAATGACATATTTACTTCTACTTACATTAATTTCTGCAACATGCTGACAAACCGGTATATTTTTTCAAAAATCAAATCACCCCATTCTCTTCTTGTAACTAAAAATCAATCCTAATTTACCGCAAATTTATTGATTTGTGCATTGAATCTGCGACTGTGTCGTAAAAGCAACGGTTTTCTTTCACTTGAAATGTCAAATTAGAGGTACGCCATTGGCTGAAATATGACCATTCAAATAATACAACAACCAATTAGAAGACACCACACAATCTTTTTTGTCTATTCTTCTGTTCATTTCATAGTTGCTATCGTTGCTATCTAAAATAGTTATCCAAATCCAAATCATCGGATACCATGGATACAAACTTACCTTGATGGACACGTAAACCCTCAAGTCCAAAGATCAACTAACATAAATATATTCATAAACAATACAAAGAACATCCCGTGGAACATCCGTTCTGTAGTGAATATTATACATTGTGAAGCATATTATTATACATAATTAAAAACTGTAGTAAAGATTTAACCAAAAGATACTTATAGGTGCATATGGAATAAAACGAAATAAATAAATACATAGAGTTAATTATATTAAATTATTTATACATTTATCCAAGTCTAGAAAAAGAAATAGGGAGGTGAAAAATAGTATGCAATGAGCATTTAAATGATGATCATTATGATGGGAGTATGAGCAAAGAATATAGACGCTTTGTTTCAGCATTACTTTTTATGTTTCTTTTAAATAAATATCTCATGTTTCATTAGTGGTTAAATAAAAATGTTTTTATTAAAAATTAAAAATCTAAAACACGTAGAACCTTCATTATAAATCGGAGTAACTCGACGAAGTTTTAACAACAGGATAATTTTCATTTCCATAAAATTCGGAAAACGTCTGAAAATTTACAATTTCTGTTTTTTTTAATCGTTGAGCAACATAAGTACCTACTGTAGAGATAGAGATTAATAAATCCTTATCTCTACATTAAATTCGTCATAGGCAATGTGTTATTGGTATAAATTTTTGCAAATCATGATGCAATTAATTGTTTACACATATAAGCATTTGATTATTATATGAATACAGGTTTAATACTGTAATGTCATTTGAATTAATTCTTTTTTTAACTAAATTTATCACATTTAAAGATACATTTATAAATTTAATATTTATTAATAGTCCGGATTTCTAGACACCAACCTGACTCATGGTAGGTCGTGAAGTTTGTTTGTCCTGCGGCTTAGAGTTTGGCTGCAGACCTTCCGAAGAACATGTTGCAAGTGAAGATTATTTCGATATCCTGAAGTTAAGAATGAACAACATTCATAGGAAGAGATCTTAATGTTCCTTTGAATATGAAACTAGATTCTCAAGACGTGTTACCCATAATTAAGAATAAAATTAAAAACAAATTCAAAAACACCTGGAAAACTTTAATTAGCAAAAAATCGTATCAGTATTATAGAGTACAAAATATTTTTCCTGATAAGACATGGTTTCAAAACTTTTCATATAAAGATAGGAGACACATTACAACTATTATAAGAATGCGAACCGGCCATTGTTTAACAAGTCAACATCTTTTCAAACTAAAGTTGGTGGACAACCCTTACTGTGAATGTGGCCTAATAGAGAACCTAAATCATATATTTTTTGAATGCCCCATAAGGATCATTCCAAGTTTTGACCTATACACAAAATTCATTTATATGAATTATAATTCACCAATTACTATATATTCTATATTAAATAAACTTACTGAAGAATCAGTCAGCATTTTGATAAAATTCCTTTCAATTAATAAATTAAATTTGTAATCGACAATGCTCAATACTTTTTTTAGTGTTTACTAATTATAACCTATTAACTATTAATGATTTTTTTTCTACAAAATTATTTGGCACAAGTAAGTGGCCTCGAGTTGGTTTAGAGCCAGACTTTATCGGGGTCACCACCAAATTGAGCTGGCGTATCACCATGACGTGGAAGCCATAGAAACAAAAGAAGAAGAAGAAGAACAACATTCATGAACTTGCCCGACAACACATCCAGTTAGCCAGTGATAGAATAAAAGATCAATATGATTCTCGATGCAAGAATGAAAGCTATGAAGTAGGTGATCTTGTTTGGTTTTCTAATCCACAATGTCGTCGAAGCTTGTCTCCTAAACTGCAAGGACAATGGGAATGTCCATATGAAATTAAAAAGAGAATTTTTTTAAGCCCTTTTCTCTATTCGGATTGCCGAATATAGGTCTCTCCTAATTGTCGCCATTTATCTGTTATTTGTAAGACGTTTCCACTTTGGCCCTGCAGTTGTTTTAATATCGTCGCTCCATCGCATTTACGGTCTTCCTCGTGGTCTTGGCTTCATATGGCCGCCAAAGCCACTCGAATTTCTTTGGGACCGAGAAGACCTTCTTATGCAGAAATACAGTATGGCTAACCTAACTTCTTTTGAACTTCGCCGACAAAGTCGAAACTTAATTATATATTGTGGCTAAACACCCCGTACGGGGTTACGCCGCTTAAGCTCTCTAGATCTATTTTACGAGGTAGATCAGTCCTCATTTTCTTTATTTAATTTTTCTTGTTATTTTTCTCCACTGTTTCCTATCTCTGGTTTTTTCTCTCCATTGTCGTACGCCCGCCCTGTTGAGATCGTTTGTTACTTCTTGTAGCCATGTAGATCTTGGTCTTCCACGTCTTCGTTTACCAGCTGGTGTCCATTCCAATATTGAGAATATTGTCGTAGATGGCCCTGATCTCCATATATGTCCTAGCCATTTTGCCCTTTGCTGTTTTATTTTACAAACTATATCCTCTTTAATTTCGTTTAGTAGTTCATGATTCGTTCTTTGTCTATATTGGTTTTCACTAATTTTTATTGGTCCTAATATTGCTCTTAGTATTTTCCTTTCTAGTATTCTAAGGTCTTCCTCTTGTTTTTTTGTCATGCTAAGGGTTTCGGCAGCATACATCATAGTCGGTCGAATTATTGTTTTATATATTTTCATTTTCGATTTTTTGCTCAGTAATTTATTTTTTAGAAGCTTTTTATTTGCATAGTATGTCTTATTTGCTGTAATTATCCTTTCTTTAATTTCTGTTTCCCTTTCTCCATTGTTTGCTAATAATATTCCCAAATACTTAAACTTTTCTACTTCTTCAAATAAATATTCTCCCAGTCTAACCTTTTTGTTTTCATATTTTTTGTCAAATCTCATTATTTTTGTTTTTTCTTGATTTATTACTAATCCCATTACTTTCCCTTCTGCTACCAATTCTTTTAACATACTTTCCATTTTTTTTCTGTTCTTTGTTATTATCACAATATCGTCGGCATATGCTATTATTTGTCCCTCTCTCGTTCTAAGTGTACCTTTGTTGATTTTTCTCACTATATATTCCAGGGCAAGATTAAACAGAGTTGCAGATAATGAATCTCCTTGACGTACACCTTTATTTATAACAAATTCTTCTGTGTCTCCTTCTTGTGTTTTTACAGTTACTACGGTTTTGCTCATTGTCATTTTTATTAATCGTCTTAATTTGTTGTGTATTCTCATTTCTCTCATAGCTGTAAGTAATTTCGCTCTGTTTATTGAATCAAATGCTTGTTGGAAGTCTATAAAAAGCAGTTCAATTTCTATTTTATATCCATAAGCTTTCTCCATAATTTGCTTTACCGTATGTATGGCATCTGTTGTTGACTTTCCCCTAATAAATCCGCATTGATACTGTCCCATGATATTTGTTGTCGCTTTGACCAGTCTTCGTTGTATTAAGGTTGACATGATTTTATACGCTGTGTTTAATAATGTCAGTCCTCTATAATTATTACACATTTGTTGGTCTCCTTTTTTATGGATTGTGATAATGTGTCCTTTGTGCCATTCTTCTGGCATCTTTTCTTCGTCCCATATGACTTTTATTAATTGGTATATTTTTTCTCTGAGTTCATGTCCACCATATTTTATTAGTTCCATGTTTATACCGTCTATACCTGGTGCTTTACCGTTGCGACTACTGTTTATAATTTCCTCAACTTCATCTCTCGTTGGTTTTTCTAGCTCGGTTTCTATCATCGTGGTCTCTTCTTCCACATTTTCATTTAAGTCTTCGTCCTCTTGTACTGTTAATAATTCTTTAAAATAATCAGTCCAGATTTCTTTAAACTCTGTCATTTTCTGATACTTTTCCATTTCTATCCTTTATGCCTTTTATCTTTCCTTTAAAGGTTTTGTTCTGCTCGCTAATTTTCTTATAAAATGCTTTTGTATTTCTATTTGTGTTTTCTTTTTCTATTTCATTTATCTTATCATTAAACCAGGTTCGTTTAATTTTTCTTATTTGTTTCTTACATTCTGTCCTTAATTTGTTGTATTCTTCTTTATATTCTTGTCTATTTGTTCTGATCCACCTTTGTCTTATTTCTATCTTCTTTTTTAACATGTTATGACAGTCTTGATTATACCATTCTTCTTTTTTGTTCTTTCTCTCTATCCCTACATGTTCAGAAGCTGCTTCATTTATACATTTTTTTATATTGCTCCATTCTGTTTCAACATTTTCTGTATGTTCACAGTATTCCTTCAGTTTTTTGCTTATATCTTCTGCATATTTAATTCTTCTATATGTAGCATTTAATTTTTCTATGTACCATTTGTCCTTTGTTGTCTTGTTATTTAGCGTTCTTTTGACTTTTTGTCTTATCGTTGCGGTAACCATGAATGGTCTGTGTCTGCATGTGCACCTCTGTATGTTCTCACGTCTGTTATCGATGTTTGCTTTCTCTTTGTGATGAGTATATGGTCTATTTGGGACCATGTTTTTTGGTCTGGTGAGACCCATGTTACTTTGTGGTATAGAGGGTGTGCAAATTTTGTACTACTGACAATCATATTGGTGCTAGTTGCTAAGTTGCATAATCTTTGACCATTATCATTTGTTTTTTCATGTAATGTATATTTACCTGCAACTTGGTTAATGTAGTCTTCTTTGCCTATCTGAGCGTTAAAATCTCCCATTACCAGAATTGTGTCTTCTTTGGGTAAATATTCAATTTCTTGTTCCAGTTTCTCATAGATGTTATCTTTTCCTCTGCTACTGCTACAGCACTTTCAGTTGGTGCATATACGTTTATGATGGATATATTAAATGGTTTGGCGTTA